AGGTGACACAACCCAAACAAGGAGCTCTGCAGAGGCCTCTGCTCTGCAGCTCCCCAGGTGACACAACCCAAACAAGGAGCTCTGCAGAGGCCTCTGCTCTGCAGCTCCCTGGGTGACACAACCCAAACAACATGTGTCAGCCCCCAGGGCCAAACGCTGCCACTGCTTCTCAGTCTCAGACCACAAACCTCTGGGGAACGTTTGAAGGCTGCAGGTCATCAGGTACAAGTGAGGATGTGGGTGCCAGCCCAGCAGACAGAAAGGAACCATAATGGGGTTTCCTGCCCAGCTGCCCATTAGCAAGCTATGCACTGCAGGAACTAGCAGGCACCAGGCACGGTGCAGTCTATCCAGACTCTACCAAGGCCACAGCCCAGGAAATGCCTGAAGCAGAAAGATTATGTGCTCTTCAACATTTATTTCCTGAAGCTTAATCTCTGCCATTCTGCACGACTGCTGCTGCAGAACAGGCAGCTGTGCACTGAGTGGCTGAGATGCCACAATGGCTATTGCTGCCCAGGAACCAGCACTGGCACCAGCAGGGCCCTGCCAGGAGGCAGATGCCTCAGGCAGAGGGGTGAGCAGCACAGAGGTGCTCACCAAAGAGCTCAGCTGCACCACAACGTGTGCTACAGACTCCATGGATGTGCCCTCCCTACGTCCAGTGTTGAGGAGAAAAAAGGATTGTATTTAATACACACAATAGAGAGGGAAGTTCCCAAAATGTATCAAAAGCTGCATTTGCTATCACAAAAGTTAGGCACGTTTGATAGCTTTACTCACTGGGGGGGAAATGAACTAAAAGGCACATTAACTTTTTAAATAATTCTTTATCATTATACATATGCTGACATGAGAAAGTGACTTACTTCTCCAGAGGGGACCAGTCTCCATCAGATAAGGGGTAATGATCCTTCGAGTGATAAATCAAAGATTCTTTTTGTTCTTCACCCTTTGGTGATGAATTTGAGGATCCTCTGTGGAGATACAGGAGGCGTTAAGTCTGCTGTAAGAAATCTGCATTACTGATTCAGAAGTTATTTATATGTTATTAAAGATCCACACTCAAAAGAAAAAAGTGTACACGTTAAAGAATTGTGCACAATGCACCTCTATAAAACTTTAGATGCATATAAAAACTACTACTAACACTTGAAAATGCTGCAGGTTAAAAACCTACTGCTCCTGATGCACAGTAAGCTGATACTGAAGATGACAATGGCACAGATGCAGGACTCTCCACAGCCAGCTGGTACTGCCCAGACCCACAGGGAACAGGAGGATCTACACTGAAACTTCTCCTAAGCAACCCTCACTCCTCCTGGCTTTACTTCAGGCCAGCCAAGCACGACTGACACACCGACAGCACAGCCAGGAAAGAGCAAGGGCATGTTCTCCAGAAGCTGCATGAGCCCTGGGAAATGGCTCTTCCCAAGGAGCAGGAAACAGCTTGTTTCCCCTTTCTAAGAATAGAACTGGGTAAGATGTCACATGCTGGTACCTGAGGCTGAATTTCTGACCTTCCTGTTGGAACACCACCCTCCCTTCTCCCCTCCCAGTTCCCTCTGAAGAAGCTATGTCTCAAAACCCCAGACTAAGCCAAACCTGCTGGCACCGCCATGGATCCCCCTTGGAGCTTTCCAGTCTCTCATTGTGAAAGCAGAGTAACCTTTACAGCAACACCCTGGTCTGCTCAGCTGTGACTGAACACAACAGTTCAGTCAAACCTACATTTTTTTGACTCATCTCTAGTCAAATTAAGATAATTGCTAGAATACCAGTTTGGATAAAACACTGGTTAATACACTGGATGAAAACAACCATTGCTTAGTCAAACCTACATTTTTTTGACTCATCTCTAGTCAAATTAAGATAATTGCTAGAATACCAGTTTGAATTCTAGACACTGGATGAAAACAGCCATTGCTTGTGTGACACTCCCAAAGCTGTCACACATATGTAGTAACTTATTAAATAAAGAATAAACAATTCCTGGGTTATATTTTCTTTCTTCCTGTACTTGACAGTTAGTTTTATTTTTGAGAGTTTAACTATGACAAGTTATTGTTGTCTTAATACTCTCATCCTGAAGACTGAACAAAGATCTTGGTCTTCTTAAACTAGAAAAAAAAAAAAGGAAAAATCTCAAACCAAACAAATTGCCAGTTGTTTGTGGCAACAAAACAGAGCAGTGAGGGTCTAAGGGATAATTCATTGACATAAATATGGCAGTGAAAAAATAAGGCAAATGGACTAAGAAAGCCTTAGACATTCTAGAAAACACTTTAAAATCCAACTTCAGTTTGTTGTGTTTCGTTGGACACAGGTGTGGTAACACACTCCTGTTCTGCTGCACTCACCCTTTGGGCTGGTAGTCAGTTTGAGGCTCCCCTGACGACCCCTACTGAAGGAGTTGCTTCAGTTACCAAAATATTTTTCCAGTTCTCAGCTCAGATCATGAACTTGCCCAGAGAGCACCAGGCTGAGCCCAGGCAGAGCCCCAGAGCCACGGGCACCTCCACTGCCAGGCAGCCTGTGAGGCCTCCACGCAGACCTGGCAGAGCCCTCTCCTCAAGAGCTTCCTTCTGTGACCATAACCTCACCTGTTACTCATGTAAGCTTCTCCAGCCTATCAGTATGTGCTACCACTTCACCACAAGCTCCACTTCACTAATACTTTACCCACTTCAAAACACAGGACTCATTTTTTCACCTCCTTTATGACTCCACAGGTCACAGATGCCCTTCACCAACACCAAGGACTGTCTGTTTATGCAGTTTTCAGCTACCAAAGTCAAGTTCAGTTCCACAGACTTCAGACTGGGGTGTGCTGTGCTACTCTGCACATGGCAGGTTAGGCATAGGTCAGACCACCCCCCCCAGACCCCTCTGCCTCATCAGAGAACCCACACAGCCTTTTTCTCAGTCACAGAGCAGATCACAACCCCACTTCTTCACCAGAATGGGCTTAATTGCCTGAAGGATGCTGTAGGCATTTTCTGGAGGTGGGTTTTTTTGAGGGAAAGCCTCCCCAGAGGTCACTTAGTCCTGCACTACCCACCTACAGGAAAGGCACACGGCACCTTTTCAACGCTCTGGCCACAGGGAGAGCAGTCAGCAAGCATCTGACAGTTTACCTGAGGGGCTGAACACTTTTTTCATCATCTGAGCTTATTTCCATTTCAAAAATCTCTTCCGTCCCAGCAGACGAGATCTGATCTTCCTTCCTGCTATCCTGTTTGTATTTTTTTCTTCTTCTTTTTTTCTTTTTCACAGATCCTGGAGTGAACACGGGCTCTGTTTCCACAGGGTGTGGAAGTTCTGAGTTTGCACATATCCTCTCACTTTCCCCTGATTTCAAATGATTGTCAGTGTCTTTAAAAAACTGGTCTTCAGTGGGTATGGGAGATGTTGCCAAGTAGGCAGGAACTTCTTCCTAAGCAAAAAAAGAAAATAAAGAATAGACTATTTTTTTTTGCTTTGTTTTGTGCATACAGAACAGTTGTCAGCTACAGATTAATCCTTGCATCTCTATCTAGACACAAAACCAAACAACAGCCCAGTGCTATGAAGCTGACAGCCAGAGAGGAACCGAGCTCACTGGAGGGATTACAAAAACTCCAGGAAAATGAACCTTAGAGTATTCTTATGGTTTCAGACATAAACAATTGATTTTGCTAGAAAAACAAACACCCTGTCAGTGGAATGTTTTTGAAATTCTTTGCCCTTGAGCACACCAGCTCTACCCATGCTTACAAATGTGTTACTAAAAATAGGCCACTTAAATCCACTGCTGTCTATTTATCTTGAAACAGATTCATAGAAAGGTGGATGTCAGAAGGGACATCTGGAGATCATCTGCTCTCATCTGTGGAGAGCAGGGCCACAGGTTAGGTTACCCAGGGCCCTGTCAGACCAAAGGCTGAGTATTTCCAGTGAGGGACTCTTCCACTCCTCTAGGCCCCCCACTCCTGCATCAGAGGGATTTTTCTCACCTCCTGCTGGAATGTCCCTGCTGTGCCCTTTGCCCCTTGTCCCACCAGCAGGCACCCTGGTGCAGAAGGGAGTGCCCTAGGCCTGCTCTGTGACTGCCCTGCAGGTATGGCAAGACTCTGCTCAGATCCCCTGAGCCTCCTCTCCTCTAGGCTGAACACAGCCAATTCCAGCAGCCTTTTTTCCTACGTCATCTTCTCCAACCCCCTGATCATTTTGGTGGCTCTCCACTGGACTCCCTCCAGCGTTCCACGTCCCACCTGAGCTGGGGAGACCAGGACCTGGGGACCAGCTTTGTGTTCCAGGTTTGGCCCAACGTGGACTCGCAGGTACAGTCTCCCAGCCTGCCAAGTTGGCTCTGTGTGATTTGTGGCTCTCTTTCTGGCCTGTCCCCTTTTTCTGACCTCTCCTCCCAGCTCAGTGTTACCACAGCACTGGAGAGGGGGCACGCAGGCCCCTCATCCACCTCAGACTCCATTGTCTGAAGGATCTTCCAAATAGAAAAACTCAGCTATAATTTACTGGTGTTAAAACCAACACAGACAACCCTCAACTAATTACAACTCACTGCCCTTTGAAGGAACAATTCAAAGGCAGGACAAGGTTTGCCAGTGGATTGCCTGGGGTTTATTTACTTCATAACAAGAAACTTAAAGGATATTGACACCTAGACTGAAAGCAACAGGCTGTGAAGGGACAAAGTGGAACAAAAGTAGAAGAGAATGGAATTTGCATAGCAGGGAGAAAAAGTTATGGGGCTCAATTCCATGATGAGAATAGGACTAATTACAAGGTGCCTGTTATCTCACAGGACTCTTACGCAGCTGACTCAGGGTGTACATGGTATGAGCAACAGCCAGAGCACTGATACCACTTTTGTTGTGTTCAAAGTCTGAACTGCTATTAGTTAATAATAAAATCAATTTTTCCACTGAGTTAATTAAGGGTTACAGGCAAAGTTTTGCTCTACTGGTTGTAGAGAGAAGCAGAAAAAGGATACAGCACTAATGACACAAAGATCTTGCAGTGTGAAAAACCTCCAAATAAAATGACAGCACCTAAAATAAAGCTAATACCCTACACAGTTAGTGACAAATAATCCAGAATAACAAGACAAATTTCAAAAAACAGAAGTTAAACTGGCTGAAAAATGCTGTCTGAAAGTTACATTACAGGTCAGGATTTATGTGAATGAGACATGTGGTGTTACTTTGGAATGTCAAGATGTGAGACGAGCAAAGCCTGGTCACCTGAAAGAACCTTTCTGAACCCACTGAGAACTCAAGCAGAGCTTCAACGTTTATACCTTAAGCAGCACTTCAGGAGGTGACCACAAGGACACATTGATCAGTAGCAGAAAAACTGAGAAAAAGAAGTGTCTAAATGCACTAAAATGAGCTTGGTCCTCTGCTGTGTGGCTAACTCAACCTCTAGCTCTGGCACGAGGCACCAGCTTTTCAGAACACGTTATGCTCAGCCCAGGCAGCCTCATTCTCACTCAGGCAGACTAAGCAGGTGCAGGTGCCGTGCCAGCACTGTCCTGGTGCCCACCCTGGCTCCTGACAGCACTGTCCTGGTGCCCACCCTGGCTCCCTGACAGCACTGTCCTGGTGCCCACCCTGGCTCCCGACACCCTGTGACAGCCCGTGCCCCCCGGGGCTGGCAGCCCACCCTGCACAACCTGCTGTCAGCTCTCGTTCCCCTGGTGGTGTGCACTGGAGCAGAGCCCAGCACCCAGCCAGAGCCCAGTGCCCAGAGCTCAGCACGCTGGCAGCCCACCCTGCACAGCCTGCTGTCGGCTCTCGTTCCCCCGGCGGTGTGCACTGGAGCAGAGCCCAAAGCCCAGCACCCAGCCAGAGCCCAAAGCCCAGCACCCAGTGCCCAGCCAGCGCCCAGAGCCCAGCGCCCAAAGCCCAGCGCCCAGCCAGAGCCCAGCCCTGCCCTGT